CTGGTCGAGCACCAATTGGGTCGAGGCTCAAAAGAAAGCCGTCCCTTGGTGTGGACCAATCAGTTTCAAGGACAATGCATATATTATCATAGTGTGTTTTTTATGTGCATTTTGACTGCAGGTATTGTGGTTAATGGAGACAAGAATCCTGGTAAAAAGGTTTCAGTTTTGTTGCCGGAAAAAAGGGGAAAACCCTTATTATTTTATCTAATGCTAAATTTACCGTAAACATGTGTAATCAGCACATGTTTTACAGCAATGGTAATCTAAGGTGCACAATGGAAAAGTGCGCCCTACAACAACCACAATCTAAACGCATATAGCATCTTACATGCCACCAGTTACACTATTGGTTCGTACGTTTACGAATATAGGCAAAGTAATGTACTATGTAGTGTACTGACGTTCCGCTTCACTCTGTTATTCATGTAAACGGTTAAAGTGGAGCCCTGGAACTACTTGATCATTCAACTGTTGGCAGAAGCGCCTCCACTACAGAGGGAGCTCAAGAGATTCCCTCTAGAGATTCCCTCTAGAGATTCCCTCTAGAGATTCCCTCTAGAGATTTTCCCTAGAGATTCCCTCTAGAGATTCCCTCTAGAGATTCCCTCTAGAGATTCCATCTAGAGATAATCTCTAGAGATTCCCTCTAGAGATTCCCTCTAGAGATTCCCTCTAGAGATTATCTCTAGAGATTATCTCTAGAGATTGCCTCTAGAGATAATCTCTAGAGATTCCCTCTCGAGATTCCCTCTAGAGATTCCCTATAGAGATTCCCTCTAGAGATTACCTCTAGAGATAATCTCTAGAGATTCCCTCTAGAGATAATCTTCAGAGATTCCCTCTTGAGATTCCCTCTAGAGCTTCCATCTAGAGATAATCTCTAGAGATTCCCTCTAGAGATAATCTTCAGAGATTCCCTCTTGAGATTCCCTCTATAGCTTCCCTCTAGAGATAATCTCTAGAGATTCCCTCTAGAGATTCCCTCTAGAGATTCCCTCTAGAGATTCCCTCTAGAGATTCTCTCTAGAGATTCCCTCTAGAGATTCCCTCTAGAGATTCCCTCTAGAGATTCCCTCAAGAGATTCCCTCTAGAGATTCCCTCTAGAGATTCCCTCTAGAGATTATCTCTAGAGATTCCCTCTAGAGATACTCTCTAGAGATTCCCTCTAGAGATTCCCTCTAGAGGGAGATTCCCTCTAGAGATTATCTCTAGAGATTCCCTCTAGAGATTCCCTCTAGAGATTACCTTTGGTTCTCAATCGTAAAAAAGTACAATGTGTCCTGTGTTAATAAACACAGGACACAGGTGTCATGAAACAAAGTAGTTGTAACTCACGTGCTCGTACTTAAATGTGTGTTTCGATGATTTACCTTCTAAAAACATCTGGTCATGTCTCGCCACCCCCAGAAAGGGCATCTTGCACCCCGAGGGGGTGCGTGCCCCCCAGGTTAAGAATCACTGTGCTGTACGATATTTAGGCCTACTCCTCCACACCGGCCAGACATCTTGGAAGACGTGTACACACTCACACTTTACCCTGTCGCGAATTCATGAGTACTCCTCGGTGGATAGAGGCGGGGGGAGGGGGGTTAAGAAACCGCAAATTGTCTCTCGTCGAACCGGCGACCTCTGGATTTTCAGTCCAGTGCTAACAGTTACATCACAACATAATTCCTCATATTGCGCGAAGCGCCATTTACTAAAGTTGTACCCATCACTGTAAAAAAACATATCCTACTTGCTAACAAGATATATATTCATATTCTTAGTTTTTTCGGTAAAGTCACGTTGTTATTTTGTTGTTTCTCTTCAACGTGACTTTACCGAAAAAACTAAGAATATGAATTACTGCAGTCACGAAAGCTTTAAATCAAAATTTAAAAATATATATTTTAAAAGTATGCATCCTTTACATTGTGTTGAATGCATTCAGGATGCAGTGAATACATTTTTATCCTACACATGAAGGATTCCAACCAATTCAGAGATGGTGCTAATCGGCTGGCGACTGTGAAACCAATACAATTAATCACAGCACACAACGTAGCCTTTCACAATTGATGTTTTGGAAAGCAGTTAGAAATGAACCACATTCAAATTAACACGTGACACTTTGAAATCGATTATTTTCTTTGCTCTCCCGAACGTTTTAATGGCAATCCATTGCTACCGCACATCAATCCTCTGACAACATAGCCAACTGCAAACTAATAGCAGTGCACAAAAACCAGTGGGCATTAATCGAGAATGCAAAGCAGGGAAATTGGACGCACACTAATGGCACATCCAACCGCAACATAATTGTAGATGCTGGTTTGAGGGCACACGAGCAATAATTAACTTGCATACGGGCAGTGTGACGTAACATAATATTCCAAGTAGAATTACATCGTTTAAAGCTGGGCAATGTGATGTACGTGAACAACCTCGCTCTATCGTCATCGTCGTTGCAAGCCATGGGTCTACACGCTTCTAGAAGAAGTCATTCTTACACCATCACCAACTTTCAGAGTCCAATCCCTGATGTGGAAGTCCTGTTCGGCATGCTCCCGCCTATGGCTGCCACTTATGTCACCTTTGAAAAAGCGTGTCGTGCCTTTGCTTAACATTCTGCAGGTCGATAGCTCCATGTTGCTTCTTCCGCCTCACAGTATGATTCCGACCGTGCTTATGATCCGCCCGTCTTTACTTCCATGAACGTATTTGTTTCGATTTCATTGGCAGTGTTCAAACAAATACAAAGTCCCCCCGGATAGCCTGACCAGACCGTTGGGGGCAAGTGCTGTTAGCGAGCACCCAATGAAGGCCGGAACGGAACACGAGGGGGTGGGGTGGCCAACACCACGCCCGGCCGCCTTTGTCTCCCCAGTGGTGATGTTTACACACCGCACCAGGTACTCATTTGAGACTGAGTCGAATTACGGGGAGGCCCAGGACCGGTTCAGATAATCGTCACTCGGTGTTGGCCGTGAGCGGGAATCGAACCCGGGTGGCCAGGTGCGTAGCGCAGCGTAGCGCTAACCACTACACCACCGTTCCACTCAACAGATACAATCACTGTTGGCGGGACACAACTGAAATAAACTTAGCTATTGAAGGCACACCCAGCTCAAAATGATGAGACAAAGAGACATAGAGCCGTCCATAAATGACGTCACGCACCTAGGGCGGGGGGGGTCAGACATTTGTGACGATGTGTGACTAGGGGGGGGGGGTGAAAAATGAGACGTCACATCAAAAAAGCGCAACTTTAAATAAATATAGACAACACGTTCTACTTAATTAGATATACTTTTTATAAAGGTTTTCTCCTACAACATCAGAGTGCAGCGCCACATTAAATACGCACTACAATGACAATAGTTTAAAGCGATTTGAAGCATGTTTTAAAAAAAAAATTTGGGGGGGGCGGTTGGGGCAGAGCTTTGTGACGTCATATTTGAGGGGGGGGGTCTGACTTTTTGTGACGTCGTATGACGAAGGGGGGGAGGGCGTCAAAAATCGCGTGACGTTATTTATGGACGGCCCCCAAGAGGATGGAGTGCTTTCAGTAAAATATATATGACAATGAAAATAAACATAAGCATTGGATATTAATTACCTCCTTTGACATACAGAAAATAAATGTGTACGCTGGGAAATGAAACAACACTTGCACAATAGCAATGCGTACATTTTAATTTTCACGGTATAATTCAAGGCTGAAAAATATGACGAACTAATGGCAGTAAACTGTAAAATAAATGGAAACGCATACATTATATATTGGATATATAAAAATACAAATACATGTGCACGACAGTACAGTAACGTGTTAATTGTAAATCACATCCAATAAAAACAATAACACTGCCTGGTTTTTTTACTTTATTGTTTTATTTACAGTATTTCATTCAAAAATGTACAATATTTATTATTCATGAGTTTAACAATGCTTTAGTTTTTACGATTTACCATAACACAAGTTATAACACTGACAACATGTTCAATGCACATTCAGTTCTGAGATACGAATAAATCGACTTATGAACGGATCTCAAGAACGTTAGCCCCGTTCGAAAGTCGAAGACTGCATGCACACTGAATCTGAGTTGCAAAGAACAAGCAGAGCACACGTTATACGAATCCACGAAAAATAAAGATACTAAATGCTTCTGGAAAATAAAATAACATGGAACGATTGAAGACCGTCATAGAAAGCCATAGGGGTATGAAATCAGCCCTGGAATAAACCCTCTTACCAACAAATGAAAACTAAGTCGTGTACTCAAATGCGAAGTTATATCAAGGGCTTAATTTCTCATGGCATATTCCCCGGTGCTTACCAACTCCCAACCCCGCGACGAGAAGAGCTGTGGCTGAAATTAGTCTGCTACATAACCAGCAAAGGTGGCCCAGTGCTACTGCGCGCACCTGAGTTCAGATGCTGGTTGGGGAGTTGACTCAACCCATTCGTCAGGATGCATACGAGAACCACGTTGCAAGGGAAGTCAATCGCGGCTGTCCGAAGAACATAACTCGGCCCCGCCATACGGAATGTGGAATGTCCACCGACCGGCCTCTGCGGGCACGTGGAGAAAGCCGGGGGGGGGGGAGGGTTGCCTCAAACGCACGACGAGCACGCATCAATGCTCGTCGTTTGATCGTGCTGAGCTGAGCTGACGAAGAGCCCACTTCGTAAACTTTGCCCACCGTGGTATTCTTAGCGCGAGAGCAAGCGCACGGCAAGTAGGATTGTGCGACAACACGCGCTAAGTGTGCGGTGCGGGCGAGCCTCAATGCACGGCTTCCCACCCCCCCCCCACCACCACCACCCCCCCACCACCACCACCCCCCCTCTCGTGTGGCAAGCGGCAGGCGGTGCCACTGCCGCCGGCTCCCACCCCCTGGCTCACGGGCAAGCGGCCTCCAGAGGACGCCGCAGTGGATGGAGGGGAGGAGTGGAGTTGAGACGTGGGTGGGTGAGTGGGTGAGTGGGTGGGGTGTGTGGGGGGGGGGTAAAGGATTCAGGCAGCGAGCTAGGGAATTTGCGAGTGCGAGTTGGCCTTGACACAACAACAACAACAAAATCGTCAAACGGAGAAATCGCCGCCACCGCCGGACTCATCAGCACTTGCTTAGGCAGACAGCAGCAGCAGCAGCAGTAGCGGCAGTAGTCCCCGATAAACCCACCCACTCCTCCTCCTCCTCCTCCAATGCCGGCCGAAGAGCGCTCTCGGCCCATCCGGCCGTGAGCAAAGTTGCGCAGACTCTTACGGGCTGTCAAGTGTCAAGTTCCATCTTCGCCCCCCGTCCCCGCCGCCGCCGCCTCCTCCTCCTCCTCTTCTTCTTCGTCTTCGTCATCCTCCTCCGCTCGGGTAGAGAGGTGTCTCCCTCCTTCCCTCCCTCCTCCTCACCCTCCGCGCTCGCCATGGCGAGAAGAGCGCGGGGAGACTGCGGCCAGCGCCGCGGTGCGCGTTGGGCGATGCCGCCGCCGCCGCTGGTGGTGCTGCTGCTGCTGGTGGTGGTGGCGCTGGTGATGACGATGGGGGTGGTGGTGGCGGTGGAGGTGGTGGGGGTGCACGCGTGCCCGGAGTCGTGCCGCTGCAGGGACGCGAGCGTGGACTGCGCCGCTGCCGCTGTTGCCGCCGCCGCTGCTGCCGGGGGGCTGCCGCGTTCAGTGACCGAGCTCATGCAGCAGCTCCCGGTGGAGACAGAGCACGTGTGAGTGGGGGGGGGGGGGGGTGGTGGGGGGGTTGGTGGGGGGGGGGAGGTTGGTGGGGGGAGGTTGGTGGGGGGGGGGAGGTTGGTGGGGGGAGGTTGGTGGGGGGGCAGGTTGGTGGGGGGGCAGGTTGGTGGGGGGCAGGTTGGTGGGGGGGGCAGGTTGGTGGGGGGGCAGGTTGGTGGGGGGGCAGGTTGGTGGGGGGCAGGTTGGTGGGGGGGCAGGTTGGTGGGGGCAGGTTGGTGGGGGGGGCAGGTTGGTGGGGGGGCAGGTTGGTGGGGGGGCAGGTTGGTGGGGGGGCAGGTTGGTGGGGGGGCAGGTTGGTGGGGGGCAGGTTGGTGGGGGGGCAGGTTGGTGGGGGGCAGGTTGGTGGGGGGGGCAGGTTGGTGGGGGGGCAGGTTGGTGGGGGGGCAGGTTGGTGGGGGGCAGGTTGGTGGGGGGGGGCAGGTTGGTGGGGGGGGGCAGGTTGGTGGGAGAGCAGGTTGGTGATGGGGCGGCAGGTTGGTGATGGGGGGCAGGTTGGTGGTGGGGAGGGGGCAGGTTGGTGGGGGGGGGATAGGTTGGGGGGGTTGTGGGGAAGGTTGGTGGTGGGGGGGGCAGGTTGGTGGGGGGGGCAGATTGGTGGAGGGGGGGCAGGTTGGTGGGGGGGGGGGTGCCATACGTGAACACACACTTGCCATGTGGACTCTGGTACCATCATTCGTGTTGTATACTCTGCTGGAAAGATCCCAATCACAATACTGTATGTATTTATACTGCAGGAGGAATCCGATGAGCTGTAAAGCTCTTTTTCACAGATGTCCAGTAGGGACGGGTCACAACGTTACAACAACAAACAGTTCAAAAAAGAACGAGAGGAGCGCAAAGTATAGGAAAGGTAAACACATCACTTTAAAAAAAAAACTACACGAAACTTTGTTTTGATCTTACCAGGTAAAGCCCACTTAGCTATTCGCGTCTTCTTGCAAGAAGCGACCTGGCTATAGATGATAACTCAACCAAGTTGGGAGTGGGGGGTGGGGCTATGTATGTTTGCATGTTGCTGTACATGATTACACACAGGTGCTTAGAAGGTGTGTGTGTGGGGGGGGGGGATGTCCAAGGTGTTTGGATCAATGCTTGGTCAGTGTGGCCAATGCCTCGCCACAAAATCGGGTGAGAAGCACCCCGACCTATACTAGGCTTGTGGGTCCATCGCTTCAGCGCGCCAACAATTGCGCCACCGCTCCACGTGGACTCTGTAAAACACTCTTACTCGCTCGACATTATTTTGACGGTGGGAGTAGACTATAGTCTAGGGCTGAACGATTAATCGATTTCAAATCGAAACGCGCAATTTGAAACAATGCGATTAGCAAATCGCAAAAGGCTGCGATTTGATTTGCGATTTGAAAAGTCCTATTACTTTCTTATTGGAATTATTTATTTTTAACTATTATAACTTTTGATTTAAAGTTTTCGTGACTGCAGGGATTCATATTCTTGGTTCTTTCGGTAAAGTCACGTAGAAGGGAAACAATAGAAGAATAAAAATATAAAACAATACATTTAATATTTTATTGTTTCCCTTCTACGTGACTTTACCAAAAGAACCAATAATATTATAACTTTATTTTTTTACCTTAACAATTCTTCTATGTTTGATTGTTATATTTCAATTAAAACATTTAATAAATACATGTTCTCATCCTTGCATTGGAATACATAGAGCAGTTCATATGTTGATGGTATCACGTGGTAATGCTCCATCACATTTTTTAAATCTATTACACAGTGAATATTAAACTGAAGCTTGACTTAAATAAATGTAATCGCAAATCAAATCGCAATCGCAATATCTGTCAGAAAAATCACAATTCGATATTTTCCCCAAAATCGTTCAGCCCTCGACTATACTATAACATTCGCCTGCTAATAAGAAGAGTACGTTGAGACAGCACTTGTGTGCATATCATCAGCATCATCATCGTTCGCTGTGATCTGTCTGCTTACCGGACGAGTGAGCGGAGACACCCACGTGGTGTTAAACGGTTGGGGCTGTCCGTTGGCAGGAAACGCGATACCATATCAGTGGGGGGCTCTTTTGAAGATACATCGGACAATTATTGAACGCGGATCAATGGAAATGCAATGCACGGGTGCATTGACTGACCTAAGTACACATGCGCGTTCTAGTCCGACACTCTGCCACTGTATTATGTAGTCGTACACAATGCCTGTCATGCGAACGTGAATTCGTGCATTACATATACCGATATACACAAATAATGTTTGTGATACGCATGCATAACTGCTCACATACGGAATTCACACCCACACACCTATTAAAACAACAACAATATGCTGTGCTGTTCGGCGATTCTGCATCGGCGGTAGTGCACTAGCACATATATAACAAAAGAAGTATAACACGAAGGCTTTCGCGACCAATATAGTATCCATGAGCGGGCTTTGTTGGGTCAGATCGAGTCAATATAAATGCGGCGTTAAACGCGCCACGAATGCGGCCGTCGCCTGATGACCCTGGTTGTAATTACTGGTGAAACGTCGTACTCGAATTGTAAATGTTGTGGGTTTACTCTGTAACACAGCCGGTGTGCTGTACTCGTAACGAATTAGCGTGCTTTGTTTACGTGACACAAACCGTGCTAATTGGCTGTGTCGGGTGGTGGCGGGGTTAACGACACAATCTAGCCCCCCCCCCCCCCAAAAAAAAACCTCTTATGGATAACAAACGTTTGTTTTGTCATCAATGCATGTGTTATCTGTTGAGTTAACTCGCAACTGACGTAGGAGCTGTAAGCAAGGGATGGTAACTTCCCACACTCGCTCGAGTTGGAGCCCACTTTGACTTTTTTATTATTAGCGGCATGCATTTTTAGATGTATACGAGTGCAGTGCACACACACATAGTTTAACAATGCATAAACCTAGTTTAGGTATCCACTGTATGTTGAACTTATTTCACACCGTACGTAGCCAATCGCGAAAATCGGAGGTGCGGGAGAAGGACAACAAACTAAATTTCGATTTAAAGCTTTCGTGACTGCAAGGATTCATCTTCTTTGGTTATTTCGGTAAAGTCACGTATATTGAGAATAAAATAATAAAATAAAACAATACAATTCTCACGACGTTTCGGCCACAACACAAGTGGCCTTCTTCAGGTGAAAGGAACAGACCTGTCGGGACGCTGCGAATCTTAGCAGCGTTCATTGTAGCTCTGTCGTCCCGACAGGTTTGTTCCTTTCACCTGAAGAAGGCCACTTGTGTTGTGGCCGAAACGTCGTGAGAATTTTATTGTTTTATTTTATTATTTAATTCTCATTCTACGTGACTTTACCGAGACAACAAACTAGTAGCATTGATACATATTCAGAACTTAAAATAGATATTTCTTATGACACAGTAATAGAATACAAACATGCTAATTTATATATATCTTATAATATTACGCACACTCAGACAACAACGATGCTTGATGAAGAAAATGCCCAGGGACTTCCTAACACTGACAAATACACTCAAACGCTTGATATTAACGTAGCTTAAACACACACACATGGACACAGCACGGATTATTGAAGCTATCAGCTCGAAGCAATCGGAGCAACAACGCAGCAATTCATTATCACGTGGCAGCTGTTAGGGTGAGAGATGGAAACCCAGACTCATGATCGAGATGGGATATTAAAGTTATTGGAGGAATGTAATGCAGATATCCAGATGGAAAGAAAAAAAAACATCCATATAGGCCCAGGAATCGGACATCTTTCGTATGTAGAGGAGGAAGTTCCAGCAGATGTCACACTTTAAGGAGTAAGCTGTGCACATTATGGACCAGATGATATATACACTGTGTATATATTCATCATTACTGAGGACGTCATCAGAGAAGTGGGTTTAACTGTTCTCAGGCTGGTTCACAAAATGTTTTACACGACTGAAATACCTTTAAATTATGGAACGATGCCTCATTAATTCTTCTGTTCCCAAAAAAGTATTTCAAAACCCACACAGTATCAGCATAATAGTGTGTTAGTACCATTTACGATAACTCACCATCACAGACCCATGATAGCATTCTTAATAGGAGTAATCAATAAGGTCATAGGATCATTGTACTACTTTAACAATAAAATTGTGTTTTTATTATTGATTGCAGGAATCAAAATAACATCTAAATAATTAATAACAGGAATACAAAGATACATCCCCATGTAGTCTTAAGTAGACTGTTGGGGCAAGTGCTGATATTTATAAATTGTACCAGGTACTCATTTAAGACTGAGTTGACCTAGGGGAGGCCCGGGACCGGTTTAGATATTTGCCACTGTTATTTGACAATGAGTGGGAATTTAACTCGGGTCGGCAGGTTTATAGCACTACGTTATAATCCAAATCCTAATGAAAAATAATCCTAAAATGCTTTAACTAATACATCACTACAGTAATATAACTGTAAAGCATTGGGGGGAAAAATCAATTTGAGAAATAGTAATATCTTATTCATACGATATTTAAAAACTTTTAAAATGTATAATAAAAAAACATAGTTGAGCCAAAAGTATCAGTCATAGAGGATAATGAAGTCATAAATCAGTTTATATGACGATAATAGTTCAAATATTTTCTTTAATTCTAGTGAGCCTCTTAAGAACATTATGAAAATAATATGGAAGCAGTGCAGGCTCATGCATTATTAGATACCACGTTTGCTAAATTTGTTAATTTTTGCATTTACCAGTAACCTAATCCAAAGAGCGCTCAAAACGGTTACGTACAGAAATGTCTTGATCAGTAAAACGCACACATGTACACGTATGTTTTAAACGAAAACGGAAGGGAGATGCAGCAGTGTTAACGTTCAAATAACTCATCGAACTTACGATCCAGAGGTCGCTGGTTCGATTCCATCTCCTGGCAATGACCTCCAAATATATCTGTGAGAATGTATTATTCTACTTTACAATTTGTATATATTGTATGTACTCTCAGGGGT